ATTACCCGCAGATCTGCGTACGTTATATGCAATTTTCGGTCGGGGACGAGTTCTCGTCCACCACTGTTTCTCGCATTGCTGTGGAATTTGTTGCTTGCCTGGGGATATGACTAATGTATATTTAGGTACACGACTCTGACCACTTACCTACAAGTGCTACATGTATGAATCTTTTCAAATTGCCTATTTATAACTCTCGTGCCAAGCTTGAGGACAAATTAAGGTTCGTCAATTTATAAAAAAAAATCTGTGATCTTTTAAGTGTTATTATATCGTAATCACTCATTGTTTATATGATTACTTAACACTAGATTTGAGTCTAGCGAAATTGACCAAGAATCTTCCCATCTTCCAGATATGCCATCAATGCTGGAGCTGGATTTGAGCTATCCTAAACATGAATGGATGAGTAATTCTGAAGATCTTTTCTGTGGATTGTAATTTCTCTGAAAAAAAAACTTGATGTAAGTTTACCCGAAAATCTAGTCCTACTGCTCATAAACCGTGCATAGTATCAATCACAAAGAATCAAGCGTGAATGTAAAATCTCTTATCTTCTATATGAATTCATTGTAAACTACTTCAATGAATAGTCTTTTGTTCTCCCACCGGTAAATCATGGGTTTATGCTGATTAGGCTTACTGTAAGCGTTACTATCATGTACTTATATGCGTAGATCACAGACTTCTTTGTAAACATTGCGAAATCAGTAGCTAAATTTTATTGAAGGCGAACCCGAAGAGTTAGCTTGGACCTCGATCGATGTATACTCCTAGTTATGCTCATAAAATTAGCTTTCTCATTTTTAGCTTTTATCGTGTGATGTTATATTTGGTCGCATTCATATGGCTGTATATAGCAACATCTCATTGCTTGTAAAAATGTCCAGCTTTTATTTGTTTAGTTCTAGAATACATAGTCATCGTAATAACGTGTCGAATATCGAGTTACAATAAATTTAATACGTAGCTTGGCTGCAAATGCAACGCAATGGCGCTTCAAATAAAGACTTTTTACGAGTGTTTGCGTTTGCAGAGATGGCAAACGATGAAAGGAAAGCGGTTGTTTGGAGTGGGAAGGCCAAAGATTTTCGCAATGGATCGGTGTCCGTTAAACAGACAAAATGTACATACATTGACTAGCTGCCAGGCC